ATGTTTCCAATGTAGTAAATGCCAAATATATATATATATATATATATATATATATATATATATGTTGGCACTTTGATGCATGTTTTTGACTTTTACATTTAACACAAAAACCTCGAATATTAAAGGTCTAATTAGGGATATACGGGTAGAATTTCGTGAATTTTGTATTGTATCCGTTTCAATTGGGGCGGGGATAAACATAAGTTTAGTTCGTGGTGGGCGGGTGTGAATGTAAAACTCACCTAAATTTTAGATCATTATGAATTTAATTATAATTTCAAATGTTATTATGTAAATCTTAAGATTTTATAGGACAAGACTTGTAATTTAACCAAATATTAGAGTATAAACATTTTTAAAATTGAAGACAGTTCGACTATCTCAAATTGGTGGGTATGAACGGATACGGGATGAGTAATAAGTATCTAGTTAGGTAGTGAGTGTGGGAAAATTTTATCTGTCGTAGGTGCTGAGTGGGTGATTGATATGAAAATATTAGATAGATATGGAGATGAAATAACTCGTCCCACCAGTCATCCCTTTGTCTCTTTATTTTTCATTTAAATATCTTTTAAATCTTCTTTTAATTTAATCGTTTCAAGATTCAAATCAAATTTCGTCTTTGAATTAACATATATGAATACTCATACGCAGCCGGACAATTCTTGTATAGTGTAATTGGTGACGGATTTTTTTTTCATTGAGCTAAAGTAATTACAAAGTAATATATATTCTAAATACTCTCAATCATTTGATAATGAATACTCAATCATCCTGCTGCATTCGTTGGTGTTCAAAACCCATGACCTCTAGGAACAACAACGATTCCTTTAACCACTGAGATTAGTTGGTTCGCGCGACGAAATTATTTTAATCAGCTTAAGAAAACATTTATTTTTTGATATTTAAAGTGCGACTTGAAAGTCTTCAATTGTGAAAGTGGAGACTTATGATTTATTCAACAGCAGAAAGGTTTATATAACTATCTGTTAATGTTTAGGTAACTGATAATAACCCTAAATTTAAATACTAATTTAGATTAAATTGACTTGAATTATAAAAGACTTGCCTATGGCATGGTTCGGGTGAGCCAAAGGAGTGAAGCTTAAAATTTTAATTTATGATTCGAACGAGAATGCGTTTGGATAATAAATTTTAGGTTTAACTACACGGATGATCTCTTATGTTTGTGTTTTGTTCACTTTTGGTTACTGATTTCAAAATACATAAGATATGGTCATCTTCGTTCTTATTTAATTAAAATGTGATCACTTCAAGTTAATTGTTGTTAAATATTTTGGTAGAATCACACATTTGTTCCATGTTATTTACATATTCTCTCGTTGTAGTCATACTTTTAATAAATTAAAAATAAATTTAATCCTCCAATCGAATGATGTCACATGTCATTGGTACCACGTGTCGTGTCATGTCACAATTCGGTTCGAAGACTAACTTTATTTTAATTTAACAAAGCAAAGCAAATTGGTGGAAAATTAATATATTAAATTAAAATAAAGTTAATCCTCCAACCGAATGGTGACATATGACACAACACATTGCACCAGTGACACATGAAATCATTCGATTGAAGGATTAAATTTATTTTAAGTATGACTAAATTGAGAGAATATGTAAATAAAATGAATCAAATGTGTGATTATAACAAAATATGACATCACTTAATCTGTTAACGACAATTAACCCATGGTGATCATATATTAAATAAATAAAAATAAAAGTGATCATATTTTAATTAAATAAAAACGGAAGTGATCATATCTTATATATTTAAAAAACAGTAACTAAAAGTAGACAAAACACAAACATAAATGATCATCCGTGTAGCTAACCCTAAATTTTAAAATTGTTATACAAAATAGTAAAGTACACAAATGATCTTACGATTATAGGGTATTGTTTTATTAAGTTATTGGTTATTAAAAGTTATAAAATGATCTTTTATGTGATGCATGAGGTGGAGTGACTATATGATACATGTTTACTAGACTTGCGTACCTGATATTCTCTGTTAAAATACATTGGACTATAACATGAGCTAAAATGAAACAGCACAAGAAAAGAAATAGTATAGTTCAGTAAGAATACACTAAAAGTAATAGTACAGTAAATGAAACAATACAATCAAAGAATCAGTACAGTAAGAGAAATAATATAGTAAAAGAAATAAGCACAATAAGAGAACAGTACAGTTTAATTGTCGTCTAAACTGGACGTTAATATGATGACTAAGATATGCTAGTTGTTTGAGATTTTAGGATCAAATTTTATCATATCAGAGTCAATATGTTAACGTTCAGCTCAGATTGTTGTCATTTTTAAATGGAAAAGGACAAAATTGGAACATAATGAATAATTGGATGACCATTTTATAACTTTTAATAGTTAAAGGACTCAATAAGCAATACTCTATAGTTGGAGGACCACTTTGTAACTTTTAATAGTCTGAGGATTCAAAAAAATATCACCCTATAGTCGAGGGACCATTTGTATACTTTACCCTAAAAAACAATGGAGGTGATATTGATAATGCAACTTAGCTTATGAAGATTACATTAAAAAGAGCACATGAACAGTTGTTTTACCAGGTTCAATTAGCAACGACAATACCTCTCTCTGACAAACACCATCAAGTTAACCCCATTCTTCTCTTCTCATGGAACCGTGTAGCCTGAAAAATAGCAACAAAATCAATATTTCTTAACCTTATTTTATGTTGAATTGATTCAGTTTTCTTGGCAGCCAATCAATTAAAATATTGCTATAAAGCCCCTAATCTTTTAGCTTTTCTCAAGTAAGATCCCACCATGATTTTGATTTGTATTTAAACAAGTCCTTATATTAAAAGAAGAGGGCTACTTGCTCCCACATTTCTTCCCAGATTGTCTGTTCCTAATGTTGCACCTTTTAGGGATGCCAACGGCAATTCCTGGATTGATTCCAGCCTGCTTTGCCAATGGGGATAACAGAATGGCACATAGGCACCTTGGAGAAGCCTTGAGCAAGGCACCAACCTTGGAGCAACAAGCAGGCGGAACTTTCGTCTTCGCGTTCCCGGCCGCTCCTAAGCACGGGTTTAAACTTACCACGACGGACCTAATCGGGGTCTTCCCGCACTCCCCGGCTGCTTCGACATCGTTAACGAACATCACAGAACTTATACCGAACACAAACAATGCAACGAGGAAATAAGGTTTTAAGCTAACACCCACGTTTCTTAAGCTCCAAGATTCACACTCAAACAATTTGCTAACAATTGAAACAATGTATATATACACACAAATGAAGGGACAAGGGGTCGTGTGGTGCTGCAATTGGGGTTTTAGTGGGGTGGTTGAATGTGGAAGACATATTTTCAACTTACAGATTATTTTATAACAGTTTAATAAATTTTTATTTTTGTACTAATTTAATAAAATTTAATGATTATTTTATAATTTTAAACAAAAATATATTTCAACATTAGTTTAGTAATTATTTCAACACCAACGCTTTTTGACTATCGGCATGCTTGAAATTGGAATCATTCAATAATTTGCTCCACTATCATCTAAATGAGTGGTGCCCACAGGTCAAGTTAGGTTCAAAGACCAAGACAAATGATTAAATCTTCGTATAAGTTAAAATCAGGTCGAGATCATATTAATTATGTTTCCCATTCCGTTTTCATAAATATTTTTTTAATTAATAATATCCAATCTATTTACTAATTAATCTAGTTCGAGTACGGTAGAAATGAGAACGACCCTCTCAACTCAGAGGATTCGACGATCCTCCCAATCAAGTTTACTCCATTTGAAGAATCGACGACCCTCATAACCTAGTTTACTCCCAACCTAATTTACTTCATTCGAGGATTCAACTCATAATCTTACTAAGAAGAAAAAATAATCTCAGTGACCAACTTTTTTTGGATTTGTCAAAATGACCAACAAAATCGCAACGCGAACTCTAATTTTTCAATTCAGTTTCCAAATTCGCAACGCGAATATCCAGATTCGCAACGCGATTGTAAGATTCGCAACGCGATTGTAAGATTCGTAACGAGATTTTGAAAAATGTGTTGCGATAGTTAAAATGTGTTGCGAGAGTTTAAAAAACGTGTTGTTGCGATAGTGAAAAAGTGTTACGATAGTGAAAAATTCAAAATAAGTTTACATTTTAATTATTTCAAATTACGTGGAGTTTGAAACAATAAAGAATGTGTTGCGATAGTGTAAAAGATTCCCAAGTCATTTGTAAGATCTTAGTTTGAAACGATAAAAAATGTATTGCGATAGTGTAAAAGATTTTCAAGTGTTTGCAATGCTCAATCCCACGTAGTATTGGAAACATTATTGAGAATGAGTATTTAAGCATTGGATTTCCCACTTCCTTGTTGAGTGGAATAGAACAAGGGGACTCTCACGCACCGTCGTTCCGTCTCGGGTCGTGGTCGTAGTAATACGTGTCTTCGACACGTCCGCACGATACTATCTTTTTAAAGAAAATTCTTAAGAAACAAATGCAATACCACCAGTGAATTTGAAAAATCGCAACGCGGACTTTAACTATCGCAACGTAAATTTGAAAAATCGCATTGCGCTTTTTTATTATCGCATAGCAATTTTTTAAAATCGCAATACGATAGTCAAAATCACATTGCAAATATGGAAACTGATTTGTGATACTGAAGATCACGTTGTGATTTAGAGATCGCATTACGATTTTATTAGTCATTTTGAGAAATCAAAAAAAATTGGTCAAAATCATATATTATAAGACATTTTCGATGACTGAGATTATTTTATTATTAAAAAACCTAATACCTTATCCAGACCAATTGGTTATTAGTTCATAAATATTTTTTAACGGTCATTATACTGTTTTTCATCTTTTATAAAACAAACCATTATGAACTACACATAAATAATTAAAATAACACATCAGCACTAAAAATACATAAATATCTTAGAAGTATAAATCCCTCACAGAGATTCAGAATCCCAAAATAAATAAATAAAACATAAGTTTACAAGAAAAGTTCAACTCAAATGGATTCAACATGCTGAAGCTTGAAAAATAAAGACGGGAAAAAAACCGAACAGAAGGGTGGTAGAATCATAGAACAAATCTTAACAAATTTTGTTCTTGTTGGATTTTCTCTCACTGACATATTTCTTCCAGTAAGCCATGACTTCCCTTTGAGTCTCGATATCAGTCTTCTTAACGTTGCCGTTTTGTGCATCTGCTTCTCCTGCTATAGCCAGTTTGGCACGGACCCTAGCGGGGAGGGTGTCGAGCTCGTGGAGCACCTTCTGGATGTCGATCACGAGACGCTCGGCCAAGGTGCGGGAGAAGTCTTCTCTGATCACGACGCGTAGCACGATGATGTGCTGAGCGTCGGCCGGCATGGTGTAGGCCGGCACGATCCAACCGAAGCGGCGCAACATGTCGGATACCTCGAACTCGTCGTGATGCTTGTTGTCCTTGAGGGAGAAAGCCACCAGCGGAACACCGTCGTCCTTCGACACGATGTTGAATCGCCCTGTTTTCTCCAACCCTTGTTTCAGGACCAAGGCGTTCTCGTGACAGTTCTCCATCACATTCCTGTATCCCTGTATGATTCAAACACCATTGCATCACATAATTCACATTAGTATTAGATAAAGCAACTAAGCACAAGTATCTGTACACATATCATAGCAGATCCTATGGTCGGATTCGGATTAACGCAACCTTATCCGTATTGTCTTAACTCAGGGACGGAATTAGGATGAAATTATGGACCATAGGGGAGCACCATGTCCCCTTACATACCTCATATCCCAAACGGATCAGTTGGTAGTATTGAGCAATGACTTGACTAGAACCTGCATATAAGCATGACACAAGTTTAGCGTTGGTTCATACATAGTTACATACATGCCTACATACTGTAAATTGGGAAAAACAAGACAAGAAATTGGATTGGCAAAGTGACCTTTGGAGAAATTGAGAGTGAAAGTGGGTTGATCAGCTCCAAGATAGTTAATGTGGAAGATGAGTTCTTCAGGCAAATCTTCCTTGCTCCTCCAGATAACCCAACCAATACCAGCATAAACAAGACCATATTTATGGCCACTGACATTAATACTCTTCACAAGGGGAAGCCTAAAGTCCCACTCGAGTTCCGGGTACAAAAACGGTGCGATAAATCCGCCGCTGGCCGCATCGACATGGATAGGGGTATCCCATCTGCAGAAAACAGATCAAAGTGGGAGCATACAAGTCACACTTCAAAATTCAGATTATCATCATGTTCATGCAAAAAAAAAAGATGCAATATGTTACCCAGTTTCTTTGTTCTTTTCGATCAAGAGATTGTTTAGAAGCTTGACGTCTTCGAATTCGCCGTTGAGGGTCGATCCCAAGATTGCAGCAACACAGATGGTGTTTTCATCGACCATTTCCACTGCTTTGACAGGGTCCATCACGTAGTACCCTTCACTGAGTTTCACTTCTTTCAACTCAACTTCAAAGTACCTAGCGAATTTCTCCCAGCAGACCTGAACATTGGCACCGGTCACGATGTTGGGTTTATCATAAGGTTTCCCTTCAGCTTTACGCTTGTTTTGCCATTTTCTCTTGAAAGCAAGGCCGGCCAACATGATTGCCTCGGACGAACCAACGGTTCCCACTCCCACGGCAGCCTCGCCGTCCCCCAACGGCGCGTTGAACAGGTGTGCTATCATGTTCACACACCGGTTCTGCATCAAAAAGAAGAAGAAAAAAATTACATATCAAGGTGTTTTGACTTTTTTTCTTGGATCTATATGAGAAAAAGTTAATATTTTTTTCACAAAACAAGAAGATATTGTCTATAGATCTACCTGAAGCTCAGTGGTGACTGGGTATTCATCCATGTCAACGTAGTTCTTGTTAATGGAGTCCATTATAAGCTTATCACATTCAGGTTCCATCCAAGTAGTAACAAAGGAGGCAAGGTTCAGCCTGGGGTTCCCATCCAGCATCAGTTCATCGTTGATGATCTGAAACGCAGCTTCCTTTGGTATAGAGTTTTCTGGCATCTTGAACCTGCAGTTTTTTATTTACATATAAAAATTGGTAATCTTTTTTCCGACATCGATGGAAACACAAAGTGCTTCAGGTTTCATGGGATCATTTTTACCTGGGAAGTGAGTTTCGGACATAACGTGAGGCAAAAGTGGAGTGAATCGAGACATCACTTTGAGATGCTGTCTTGGATAACACCATTGTTGACAAAATGTAGTTTCAAAAAGAGAGATCGAAGATTTTTTGTGTGAAGGTGAAGTAGTTGTTGCTCGGTGAAGGATAACAAGAGAGGAAATGGTATTTATAGGGATGTTTGGGTCTTTGCCACGTGTCCACATCCGGTACATGAACCCTGGCTGATTGTTACCGCGCTCACAGGCTGAACATATTGAAAATAGCCAAATTAAAGGTAAAAGAGATTTTACAAGTAAATGGTGCTTTCCAACTCACCTCTAATTTTCTAATTTCCAGTTTCCCACGTATGGGAACTTTCCCTCTTGTTTCGGAATAAAATTTTGGGTAAATTACTCATTTGACCACTTAACTATTTATCCCTTTTACTTTTGCCATCAATCTTTCAATTTTATCAATCACACCACATAAATATTTGATTATTTCAATCAAGCCACTAGCCGTTAACAGTTGGCGGAAATGATGTTGTGGCAGTTAAAAGCTACTACTCAGTTGACTAGTTAACTAGTTAATTATTTCAATCAAGCCACATAACTATAATTATGCCAATTCCTTTTAATTACCACGTCATCATCTCCATCAACTGATAACGTCTAGTGACTTGATTAAAATAATTAAATAGTTATATGATATGATTGATAAAATTAAAAAATTGATAGCAAAAGTAAAATAGTTAAGTGAATAGTTTACCCTAAAATTTAATGCGAACTGCTAATGGGTAAATTTTTTTCATTGATGATATTATATCATTTTACGATGACGCATTAATTTTATCATTTCTTTTTGGGTTAATTACACAATTAATCATTTATGTTTGTGTTTTATCCATTTTTTCTCACTGATTTTCAAAGTATATAATATATGGCCACTTTGGTTTTTATTTAATTAAGATGTGGTCACTAAGGGTTAATTGTCGTTAACAGTTAACTGATTAGGTGATGTGGCAGTTAAATATTTTAGTATGATCACACATTTGGTCCATGTTATTTACATATTCTCTTAATTTAGTCCTATTTTTAATAAATTAAAATGAATTTAACCATTCAATCGAATGATGTCATGGGCCACCATTTAGTTGGAGGACTAACTTGTCACTATCTGGTTGGTGGAAAATATAAATATATTAAATTAAAATTAATTTAGTCCTTCGATTGATCCAATTGAATGGTGACATGTGGTATGACACATGATATCATTTGATTGAATGGTTAAATTTATTTTAATTTATTAAAAGTAAAAGTAATTGAGATAATATGTAAGTAATAAGGACCAAATGTGTAATTATACTAGAATATTTAATTATCACGTCACTTAATCTGTTAACTATTAATGACAATTAACTCTTGGTAACCACATCTTAATTAAATAAAAACCAAAGTGACTATATCTTAATTAAATAAGAACGAAAGTGACCATATATTATGTTTTTGAAATCAGTGAGAAAAAGTGGACAAAACACAAACATAAGTGATCAATCATGTAGTTAACCCTTAATTTTTTTTAGTGAAAAGTGATCAAAACATAATTAAAAAATAAATTGTATGTGATTTTGAAAAAATAATTAAATGACTAATAGAGAACTACAACAATAAATGATTTATTAAACATAAAATTTACCCAAATTTTATTTAGCTAAACTATAAATTTCATCACAATTCACAAAAATAATATCTTTATTAGCGGAGAAGGATGGTTAATTTTATTAATAATATTACATAATTGGCCAAAAAAGATATTGAAGGTACGTAATATCATCATCAGTGCTACCTTTTAATATTGGCGTTATTAAATAAAAAATCCTATTAATTAATTTTTTAAGTAGTAACTCTTTCACATATTTGTTAAAAAAATATCCCTAAATTGCACACATATGACGATCTCGCGTCCTATAAAGCACGAGAATGTGTCTCACATTTTACAAGATGTGAGGTATAATGTACTTTTTAGATTATCCAATTTATTAATGTTATTTAGTACCTTGCGTTTTCCCATAAACAAGGTATTTTGTTTTCACAGGAAATCACAAGTGCTTGTAGGCATGTTTGGCTATTTAATCACAATTTTTTTGTAATTTATAAGATTCTTTGTGTAGTATTGGAGTTGATCTTTAAGTTGAGGTGAACATAAAGACATATGAGATATTGTAGGGGGCTAAAAATTGCGTTGAAAATTGTATCAAAGCTTGTTTTGTGCAAGAATAAGAAGATACAAAATTGTGTTCAAAATGGATCCAATGCTTGGTTTTGTGCATGCACAAGCTAAAATGGCTTGATAGACATGACTAGTATTGGCACATACGAGACATTTTAAACAGTGTAATAATCGTGTTGAAAAATGTTTGAAACAAAAGTAGTGCAATGAAAAACCATAAGAATGTTGAGGGAATAAGTGGGTGTGTGTCATTTGTGGGTTTGATGCCTCAAGTAGAGGATGCCACCGGAAGAGTATGCATTTTTAGAAATATTGTGGGTTTGATGGAGGTGGATCAAGCATAAATGTGGAATTCGGAACCACGAAGCCATGCCCACCACTGTCAGATCTATGTCACGAGTGATACGTCAATAGAGTCACATGAAGAGAATGTCTTTTTAGAAATGATTACTTTCCTGAGCATTAAGATGAGTGGTGATGTACCATTTGTCAAATCAGTGCGAAACAAGTCATAGAGGATGCCACTAGAAGATGATGCCTTTATAGAGTTTTCCAATAAGGTCGGGTGACTCATGTTTAATTGACTTTACAAATATACCGTATAAAAGACAAGTTGCAGAGGAAGCCACCCAAAGAGAATGTCTTTTATAAACATTGTTGATTTGACAAAAAAATGAAATTTATAAAACAAGCATTTTGTCGAGAATGCCATATCTTTTATAAAAAGCATTCTCTTCAGGTGGCATAACTTACAACACCAATATTGACATAATTTTAGTGTTAAGTTGTGCCACAAGAAGAAAAGCCTCTTATAAGCATAGATCGTGCTAAAATTTATAATATCTGTGAAATGGGATATTTATTTATAGTGTTAATCTCATGTTGTGCAAAATACGAGTTTTGTAGATGAAACTCGCTATCTGAAAAACGCGAGTTATTGAGGGATTCCTGACATGGCAGATATTCCTGACGCAGAAGCAACATTTGATTTGGTATGACAAGTCTTGCATTAAAAGGAGAGATAAAATATGTATATAAAAATAAGACCAGTGTCCATTTTGGATGAAATATCTTCCTAAAACAAATATTAATGGCTATATTTCTTGCAAGTGTGTTACATTCCAAAACTTATTTATGCGCTTCCTTCAATGCCAATATTAAGAAAGACGAGTTGTACAATTTGATTTCAACTGAGCTTAAAAATCTACAACACGATAGATGTCTTCGTTGCAAGCTAAAGTTCTCGTGGGAAATATCGGTACTGAAGCACATTATATGTTGACCTTATCGAATACAAGAGACCTTCGAAAGATGTTTAAGGCTTACATAAATGTTGGTGGTAGGAACATCAAGTTGATTGTAACGTTTGAGGAAGAACCATATTCAACAAGCAATGAAAGAGTAACTCGATTATCACAAAACTATGAGGACGATGAACCAGTTATGCTACGTATTGTCCGTGAATGCCAGTAGAGAGAGCTTTAAACAACTCGTGTAGTTTATTTTTTTTATTGGTGGTAGGAACATCAAGTTGATTGTAACGTTTGAGGAAGAACCATATTCAACAAGCAATGAAAGAGTAACTCGATTATCACAAAACTATGAGGACGATGAACCAGTTATGCTACGTATTGTCCGTGAATGCCAGTAGAGAGAGCTTTAAACAACTCGTGTAGTTTATTTTTTTTTATGTTTTTAAAATTAGTATTAAAATAAATTTTGTGTTAGTATGATGATTCCCAAGTTGTTTATGAATCAAACCGAACAACAAATGATCATATTGTTCAATGATAACTTAAAAAATTAATCATTTAAAGTTGATTAATAATTTAAACAAATTTTAAAAAACAAAACATTTTAAAAGAAAAAAGAAAAAAGAGTTTGGTTAACTAAAAAGAAAGAAAATGCAGTTCGAATAACTAAAAAAATTACAAATTTTAACAACTAATGATGTCTATGTCCACCCGTACTGCATTGTGGTGTACAATGAGTCTGGCGATGATTTATACAGATCAATCTATATTTGGGGGCATCGTTATCACTCTTATCATCACCACCACCACCATCACTGCCATTGGGACCAAGACCAGTGTAGAACATGCTTTGCAGCGGCTTCTGCTCAACATTGTCGGATCTGAAGTTTGTTGTCAAAGGTCGAGGTGCACACGGATGTGACGGATAATATGCTTCAGTTGGTGCATGAGGGCAATGAGAATGGATAAAGATAGTCAGATATGCACGAAATGCGTCAACAACAAAAAAACCTTCTATCGATGGCGCCATATGATAAAATGATGAGGAGTCGCCATATATTGAACTGCTGACTGGGTCAAGTGGGTGAACGTAGGTTCTGCAGTGGTGTTTGGTGCTATGTATGTGGTGTTTGTGTCGTTCCTGATGACAAGGCTTTAGCGTGTTTTCGTCTACCCCAACTTGAACCATATTGCGTCGAGGGACGTTGCGTCAGGGGACGTTGTGTAGGCAGACGGTTTTGGGGAGCCTATAAATTTCTCGCGCTCGTTCCTCCTCGGTTAGTATATATGGCATCCCATTTTGCTCGTACCACGACATGTAATCATCCAAAACACTATAGGTTAAGATGGGTTCAGAAATAAGTAGCCTAATGAACATCGTCATCCATTGCATCACCCAGTCCACACCCAATCCATATTCGTCTTCCCCTGTAGCATTAGGCGAAGGCATTGTCCAAGGTTGTTGGTGGTGGCGGAATCGTTTTGACACAACCAAAATACTACAACACGCGATCAGTAGGATGCCACTCGATTATCTCATAGACTATCAACGGGACCACCGACATCCAAACATGCGAGCTGTGACGTATCTCGTTCAGAGTGCACGCTATAATAGCATCGTCACTGTACGACGTCCACACAAACTACACAAATATTTTTAAACTATGTTAGAAAA